AGCGGCATGTTTACATCCAGTGGTTGCATTAACAGAAAGTATTTCGTCGCCATGTGTTTGGAGGTGTAAAATGCATACGAAATGACTTTAGAAAAGGGATCGTTGACAAACCCTGAAAAAAAAAAACACAAGTAGAATCTTGACGTAGATAAAATATTTTCAACTAAAAAGACTAATACCGACGCGAATAGACCAAAAGGGAGCATAGAGAGCCGTTATTATTGTTTCTTTAATAAGAAATGACATGTTTGATGACTTAGAAAGTAGGATGGGACGAACCCTTCATCTTGGGAATTAGTGGAAAAGATGGAAACATTTAGAGTTTATTGCTAAAAAAAAAAATACTAATGCAAAATATGACGGTTGAAAGTTTGTCCTATAAAATGAGATTTAAAATCTAGATTGACTATTTCTTACAAAAAATAAATAGAATAAACTGTTTAAAAGAGTTTGAAAAAAGTTTGGTTTAATAAAAGAACATTATGGATGGTACATATAAAAAAGTTTACAGCTTAATGTTGAAAGATACTGAATATTATGATGTGTTTAACTGGAAGACACTGAAAACAATTTAGAATAGAGAATCATTATTACCAGGTAGGGTTTTTACACAAATAAGGAATTAGTTTGCTTAATAAAGGGCTACACATTGATAGAATAACTTACAGATACCCTAAATAGATTTAAGCATTTAATGTGCACTGTTTATTGCAGATGTAATTGCTTGTAACAGATGCCCGTTTATAGAAGTGTCAGAGTAATAGAGAGGAAAAGTGATACATTTTGGAGAGGAAGAGCACCATAGCAGATATTAAATATAGACACAAAAAATATGAAGCTGCTGGACTAAATGCTATGTACATGATGTGCTGGGGTATTTCTTTATACGAGGGGAGTTCAATAAGTAATGCCCCAGACCCACTTCCAGATGTTTAATCGCCTTGAACTTTTGCATGTGAAATTATTTAAATACATTAAATAGCAAATTGTAGCTTGGAAGGAATTGTGGTTCCTGATTTACAGGTGTTTAAACTGAGTCAAGTCTGTGTTTTTGCATTTGAAAGGATGCAAACTTTTGATCAAATGAAAGTAACTTATAGTGATAATGTCCCATAATATAACCTTGTAAAACATTTTGCAAGGTCATATAACGGGCATCATCACCATAACCAAAAAATAAAACTTAGAGAAACCCTAAATAGATTTAGGGATTTAATGTACACTGTTTATTGCAGATGTAATAGTTTGTAATAAATGCCCGTTTATAGGAATGTCAGAGTATTAGAGAGGAAAAGTGATACAGTTTGGAGACTTTTGATGAAATGGAAGTAATTATAGTGATAATTTCCCATAATATAACCTTGTAAAACATTTAGCAAGGTCATATGACAGGCATCATCACCATAAGTTACTTTAATTTCATCAAAAGTCTCCCGTGGTGTGAGTCCTTTCCAATAGAAAAACTGGATCACTGCTCGACACTCAACACGCTCCATTTCAGACTTTACTCAGTTCAAACACCTGTAAGTCAGAAACCACAATTAGTTCAGAGCTGTAATTTGCTACTTAAACTATAGAGATTTAAATAACCTCAAATGCAAAATTTCAGCTGGATCAAACATCTGGAAGCAGGTCAGGGGCATTACTTATTGAGCGCCCCTTGTATTTTTTACTCATAAAAAAATCTGCAGTCAAAACGTGTCAGGTTAGGACCTGGGTCCTGTCAATGAAGCCTGTAGCAGTCAGGAAGAAGCCTTTTTACAGAAGGAGAGTCAGATGCATTTTTACGTGCTCTCCTCTGGAAGCTGGATTTTTTTTAATTCCTAAAGAATTGGAAAATTGCAGGCAGTCACCCACTCTGCAGAGGACTGATACACTGCCGTCTGCCCTTTACCCTTTTAGTGGCAGCAGAGTGGTGGTGTCGAATAGAATGTATTAGAATAGAATAGAAAATCCCTTTGTTGTCTCACAATGGGGGAATTCTAGTGTTTACAACAGCAAAAAGTCACACAAAAAAAAAAATAGTCACACAAATGTGGACCTTAGAAAAGTCTCTTATGATAACATTATAGTGAAGCATTAAAAAAAAAAAATACTGTACTGTAGTGTTTCAACTATATAAATACTGTGCAACTGGAGAATAAATAACCAATATCCAGCTATGGACATTTTTACAGTAATGGATATTTAAAGATAGCATCAACATCAAAGATGTGTAAAATGACGGGATAGACTGAGTGATGGTAAGGTGGAGGTGCATCAAGACTGTCTTTGGAAGACAGGCATGGTGTAATCAGACCTGTTTCCCCAGCTATACTGTATGTGCTGCTTCCTGCCTGTCAGAAAGTCTATAATCCACTTGCAGGTGGAGTCATGAATCCTCAGCTAGAAGAGCCGCTCATTCTGGTGTTGAAAACAGAGCTGAAGAATCCTGGGCTAGGTTTCTAGGGAGTCCAGTTGCTGCAGGATATATTATATATCATATCAGTGTTAGATTATGGAATTATTTATTATGTAATATAATTAAGCTTTTAACACATAAAAAACAATATTCAGTATCAGGCACTGGAGCATTAAGTTTTAAGCGAAGAATGGAAAGATTAATGCTGGAGGAAATAGAAGAGAAGAAATGGTGTGGTTACTTCTCAGATTTGAATTAAATAGTACCTTCTGCATATTAGGATAACAAAATAGCGATACATTTGATTATAGTGGTGAAGATGAAACTGTAAAGAGCATTTTGTTATTTTGTAAGACATACAGAAATGAAATAATTCCTCTGCTTATAGTCTTTCTAAAGTGAACATAAATTTCGATCCTGCTGTATTATTGGAGATGTTTAATATCTGTTTGTACTCAGGCTTTCATAGATTACCTAAAACAGACTCATTTATTTGTTTGGTTTTTTTAAGTGTTGTTCCAGTCTTCACCTCCTACTAGCTGATGGCAGTAATGAACACAATTCGTTTTTTTTGCCTAGGCAGGAAAAAAAAAAAAAAAAAACCTGTAGATTAAAAAATGTTTTAATTTGAACCATTTTCTGCCGACGGTTTATGACAATTTTCAGCATTTATAGAGATTTCAAAATGACAATATAATAGAGAAAAATTAGGAGTTAAAATAAACAATATGTTTAGTATGTATGAAGTTAGGATGAACGCTGATCCCTTCCTTCCTTCCTTCCTTCCATCCATTGAAAATATATTTATTATGTATGAAGTTTAGGTAGGGCTGGGTACCGAACTTCGGTTCTTTTATGGTACCGACCGAAATGCTTTGGTTCTACAGAGTATCGAAACATGCCTCGTCTTTCGGTACCAAGTTTCGGTGATTGGCTGTAACGCTTAACGTGATTGCGTCATCCAGGAAAAATACACAGGTGGTCACGCCTACAGCCAGGGTTCATGTGTTTCTGTTGTGAACTGGTTGTGAGCGTCGCGGAACCCCTTTAAAATGCCCCCCAGGTCAAAAGTGTGGCTTCACTTTATTAAGACTGATGCTAATAGTGCGCAATGCAATACATCGTGCACGGAAACAATTTAAGAGCAGAAAGTTGCTCGGTGTTTGACTGCAAGAAGAGCAGACCGCAGGCGGCGCCACCATCCTCCTCTCAGCAGCCCGTGGGCAGAGCAAAGCCAGAGCGGAGTAATGCTGTAATAATGCTGCAATTTCAAACTGGACGCAGCAGGAGAAGCAAAATCACGTCTGCTGCTTCCTTTTTTGATGCTTGTACCAGCTTCTCACGCGCGGCTGAAGCTGCTTTGCTGCTCTGGCTGCGCGGTGCAAAAGTGGCTCTGATGCGCGTTGGGCGGAGCTACTCTATCCTTTCTCTGCCTTGCAGCTATATTTGCTGTGATCAGTGGGAATAAAGTAGTTTTATTATGTTTTTAAGTGGGAAAATCCACCTGAAAACTTAATCACTGCAGTCAGTTCATCCATATCAGCCTTCCAATATTCTTTGTCGGAGCCGCTCAGACCCCCACATACCAGCGGTGCGCTGTCAGTAGGATCCCATTCAACGGGCTTGTTTGTCAGACATGGTAAACTGCTAAGTAAAAAGGTCCTCACAATGTTACAGTGAATATTAGACACTGATTTTTTTTTTTTATGTAAGAGGAAAAATGTAAATGGAAAAATCAGAGCTTAAAATAAAACTCAAGATTTGTACTTTTTTATGTTGTGTAATTTTCTTTTTCTTCGAATTGATATTATAAAACTGGTATCGAAAAAAGTATCGTTCAGGAACCCGTATCGAAGTGAAGGTATTGGTATTGGTACTGGTACCGAAAATTTTTGAACAATACCCAGCCCTAAGTTTAGGTGAATACTGATCACTCTCTCTTTTCGTTTCCATCTTTCCTATCTCCATTCCTCCAAATTCTCCCTCTGTTCCTGCCTTTCACATTCCATCCTATACCTCCTTCTATCCTTCCTTTCTCACTCACTCCATTCCTTTCTTTCTCCCTCCCTTCTTCCTTCCCTTCTTCCTTCCTTCCCTCCCTCCCAATAAAAACATGTTTATTATGTATGAAGTTAAGGTCAATGCTGATCCCTCCAGTTTATAGGTCAGTATTGGTAGCCTTTCCTATGACTCAGTACCCATGAAGCAGCTCTCGGCCTGAAAGAGGTTGGTGACCCCTCCTCTGGATGGAGAGTGAATATCTGTTGCAATTTAACAGACCTAAGGTTTCAGCAAGGCAGAACTGTTGTTTCTATTTTAATAAGGTGAATTCTGAATCACAGACAAATATTTTAATCGAAGTTGATTTTACAAAATGTATTTTCTCTCAAATTCACTCCCCTGTTTGTTACATGACATTTAAAAAAAATAGTTTTCTTCTAATTTTTTTCCACGAGACCCCTTTGACCTCTCATTTTAACACCTGTCAAAAAAATGTGTTCTTTTATTCTAGGGTAAATCTTCACGTTTTCGACAGACTTGAATGGATTACCACCCAGACCAATCTGATTGGCACAGTTAAAGGGGACCTGCCAGATAATTGATAAGATCAGCCTCTGCAGGGAGCTTCAAGAGTCTGCTAACACCATGTCTCACCCCTTCTTTAACACCAGTCTTTCAGGAAACCAACTGTTCACCCAGATCCGTAATTTTCCACCAATGAAAGACATTCCCAATGGGTTTTCTAGTGTTGGATCTGCAAACAGTTTGTCTTCCTCTGGAGCTTCATCTGTAATTGTTGCCAGCTACATGTCAGGTCAAAACAAACCCATATCAAATAATAACACAGAACGGTTAGAGGACTCAGTTCTTAGGAGTGAAAGCGCAGAACGGGACCCTTTGGACTTGAAGGGTGCCTTTGGCATAAGACAGAGAAAGGAATTTTCCTCATCTGCAACATCCTCAACATCTCTAGGAGACACAGACCGCAGTGCTGCCAGTGACAATGCCTCTTCAGACTGGTTGCCTATATATAGACAAGCTGCCAAGACTGATGCACCCAAATGTCCTTCTTTATCTCTTACATCCTGTTATAATCAGAGTGGAGAGAGGGTCGACAACACTAAAGCAATCCCTGGATTAGATCATTCCCAGAATCCAGTTCCAAACAAATCAACTTTGTCGATTGATTCCAATAAAATGAACGGTGCTACAGAATCAGCTGCTGAAATCCTTCAGAGGTTTGGCCTCAAAGAAGATGACTTGAAAGAACTTCACTCTTACCCTATGGATCAGATAACTCCTCAAAGTCTTTCTTACATTTTGCAGCAGATTTATATTCAAAAGCAAAAAAGAGCTACAGGAAAGCCTTCTGAACCCCATCCTCAACTACGAAGCATTCTGAAGACGAGTAAAGGGATTGACTATCGGCATTCTGAGCTTGAAAAGAACAGCAATGATAGCAGTCAGAGTGTAGACAGCTTTCAAACAGATAAGGTTAGTACAGATGCTTTGGATTCAGATATGACTTCTTTAATAAAAGTGGTACGTGACCCGTCTGAACGACTGGAGGCTAAGTCCTGTGAGAGGATGACAAAACTTCTCCCAAATAAAGTCCCAAAATGTTCTCCTTTAAAAGAACCAGAGAAAGGTCACCTGGTGATGTCTAAATCCCCCAAATCCTCCCCCCGAGTCTCTGGTCTTCTTAACTGTCATTTAGATCCTAAACGTTCGAAGAAAGATCCTGTTAAAATGAAAATAAATCAGACGGTGGTCAATAAGGACAAGTCAAAGCAGCTGACTAATCAGAAGTCTGCGAGTGAGAAAACTGGTTTTCAAACTCACATTGGGACACATCGACTGGATGATCAAATGTTAAAGACTCCAAAAGAATTGAGACATCAAGGTTCTGCTGAAGCAGTGTCGAGCAAACCGGCTGAAGTCCAGGAGTCTTTTGCAAAACCTCTGCCAACACTTAGTGAGATTGACGACTACGAGGGAGTCCGACCGAGCAAATTTCCGCATACGTGTTCTCTCTGTGTCAAGAAAATTGAGACCTTATCGGTAAGCTAATGCTTTTCAAGATTTCATTCCTTTTTTAGAGTATATTTACATATAATCAATATGTAGAGAATGAAATTAGCCTAATTATATGTAAAATTGAAAAATTTCCTCTCATTTAAATGTCCTACCCTCACGATGTTTCATCCATCCATTTTCTGTCACATTTATCCTAAGCGGGCTCGCAAGGGCTGCTGGTGCCTATCTCCAGCTGTCTACGGGCGAGAGGCAGGGTACACCCTGGACAGGTTGCTAGTCCATTGCAGCCAGGAATATCAAGTGGCAGGAAATTTATTGTATTTTAAGAAATAAACTATCATCTCTTTATCCTCAACCGGAGGCTTACAACATGAGGTTCCACATTTTAATGCAATGTATGCAAACATTTTTAATCAGTTTTCAAGAATAAAATAAAGTAATCTTCAAGTCATCCATTTTGAAAAGTAGTCCTTTGCAATAGATAATGGGTTTAACTACCAATGACAGACACTAGTTTCACCTAAATGTATAGCTTTTGGCTGCATCCGAATTTATTAAAGGGCAACCACTCTTTGGCCAAAGCAGATGTGCATCAACAGTCACCATAGTTGCTTTGCAAATGGTGCTGGAAGTAAGGAAGCAGATGAAAAAGAGCCTGGATGCTTCCTACTGATAGTTCTTTTAGAGTAGGGACCTCCTGATAATGCTTGCTAGCTTTTATTCAAGACTGCAATCCATCGGACATCCCCGACTTCACCTACCATGGCTTGTATAGTTATATGCTGGATCGTCAATGCTTAGGTTTGGGTGATAACTATGTGGGTGTTGCATAGCTCAAAGATTGGAGATACTGATTTTAGGTGTAAAGTTTGTTTTTTTATGTAATTAACCAAAAGAAATAGATTAGCTTAAGTCGGGCCTGTTCCCGGTGCGTGTTGGACTCCGACAGGGCTGCCCTGTTTTAGCGGTCCGGTTAATAATATAGACACGATTTCTATGCTTAGGCCCTAACCGTAGAGTTCCTGCCTTAAGTGGAAGAGTTTGTTGTTCATGACTGAAGAGAAAATGGAACAGGATATCAATAGGCGAATAGTAGCGGCTGCAGCGCCCACTGCACCAGTCTTTTGTGGTTAAAAAGAGACCTGAGAAAAAAGGCAAGAATCTCTATTTACCGGTCAGTCTACGTTACTATCCTTACCAATGGTCATGATTTCTGAATCATGACTGAAAGAACTATATCCTGTGTACAAGCGGATTAAATGAGCTTTCTCCGCAGGGTGGCTGAGATCTACCGTAGAGATAGGGTGGAGAGCTCTGTCATTCAGGAGAGGCTCGGAGTAGAGCCACTTCTCCTCAACATGCAGAGGAGTCAGCTGAGTTGGCCCAGACATCTTTATTGGATGCCCTCTGGACGCCTCCCTAGGGCACGTCCCACTGGGATGCCGAGTGGACGACCCAGGACAAGACTGAGGGATTATAGCTACGTTCACACTGCAGGCATTAATGCTCAATTCTGAATTCTTTGCTTGGTCATTCACATTTCCAAATATATGCGACTTTTACAGTTGCAGGCATTCAAAATTTCCCCACTTTCCTTGATAGGCCCTTGGCTGGTCCCTTACAATTCCTTTTTAAATATCAATAATTCTACTAAAATATTCTTCTGTCATGATCTGTGGACATTAAAATCTAAAGAAAAGCACCATTTTCTGCTCAGATCCTGTAATTCAGTGAAATGGTGGAGTCAGAGTAATAAATTATGCAAGAGGGGGTCTTTGTGGCTGGAAGTTAGAGGGAATTTCGCTTGGAGTTTGAGGGAAGGTCAGGTAAAGATCAGATACAAGTCGCATTTGGGCAAAAAAGAAAATCTGATTTGGGTCACTTCAGGCTGCTGTGGGAACGTAAACTATGTCTCTCTGCTTGCCTCGGAGCGCCTCAGGTGTCTGAGGTGAGGGAAGCGCTTGAGTCTTTGCTGAAAAAAATTAATTAAAAAAACTTTCTGGATGGGAAGCGAAACATCCTCAAATTTGGAAACCAAATCCAGTGGATTGTTTTTTTTTACTTTTTAAATCCTCTTAAAAGGCGACCCGGTGGACCTTAAAGGAATAGTACACCCAAAACATGATTAACCTTCATTTTCTACTCACCCCCCATGCTGAACAACACTCTGGAGTATTTTTTTGATATCTCAAATGCATCTGGAGATCTGGGAGGCTTCTTGCTGTCTGCTGACATTCAAATAACGGAGGTCTATTGTGCCCGAGACAGATAGGTCCATAAAAGTCCACAAAAAACGTGTCAATATTCCTCCATACTGCTCGTCCAATGTATTCTAAGTGTCCTGAGTGGGTAGCATCCAGAATTTACTGGAAACAAAGTCATTTAGAATGTTTTTAGAGCATAAACAGTAGTGTATAGGATTTCCTGAAAGCGCGCGCCGGCGCGTTCATGACGCTACGGAAGCCGGTAGACCAAACCAGATGAAAGTGCGCATTCAGCGTCTGCTCTGCCGATAATGCAAGCGTAGAAGAAGAAATGTGCTGTTTACCTGTGCAAAGAAAGAAACAACGAAAGAAAAATGTCTGAGGACTTCAGAGTTGAGGAAGAGCATGAGTTCTTTGCCGAGCTGAATGCGCACTTTCATCTGGTTTGGTCTGCCGCGGTTTCCGTAGCGTCGTGAACTCGCAGGCGCGCGCTTTCAGGAAATCCTATACACTACTGTTTATGCTCTAAAAACATTCTAAATGACTTCGTTTCGAGTAAATTGTGGATGCTACCCACTTAGGACACCTGGAATACATTGGACGAGCAGTATGGAGGAATTTTGACACGTTTTTTGTGGACATTTATGGACCTTTCTGTCTCTGGCACAATAGACCTCCATTATTTGAATGTCAGCAGACAGCAAGAAGCCTCCCAGATCTCCAGATGCATTTGAGATATCAAAAAAGTACTCCAGAGTGTTGTTCAGCATGGGGGTGAGTAGAAAATGAAGGCTAACCATGTTTTGGGTGTACTATTCCTTTAAGTGGGGGTAATAACTCAGAATGCATGAAATTCCGCCGGTAAAATTTTTACCAGCAGGTGGAGCCATTTCACCCAGCTCCAAGCTGACAACAAAAGGTCCATACATATAGCTCGAGACCTGAAATTTTCTGCATTTGTGGTTGACATGATGTAGAGCAAATTTAATACAATAAAACCTGCTTTTTCTCAAGAATGTCTTTATTACTGCTGTTCAAAAAAAACCTATCATTTCCGAGAATAAAAAAACAACTTTGAGTCATGTTCGAACTGATGCAGGTTGGTCTGTGTTTTGAAGCGACCTCATTTTTATGTGATAAACCCTGATATCTAAAAAGTACAGACTAGAGAAGTTGTTATATTACCTAATCTAGGGTTCTTGGAAAATACATTTTAAATGTTTTGTGTTTTTTCTCTCTACAAGGTTTGGCACAACCACATGGCAAACAAGAACCACCTAAAGAACGTCGAAATCTTCAAGATAAAGTCAGTTGTTACTTGTTTTTTGGTAGTTGTTTGTCGGTATTTGTCTTACTATTTGATGGTTTTCTATATGCTAATCAACAGTTTGCAGGAATTACTGGACAGAACAGTTTTGCATCCTTTTTTTTCTTGAGATTGTTCTAATCCTGTACTCTGAGGTTTAGCAGACTAATTAAAGTCACGAGATCTGTGAGTAAATATTTTGTTCTGATGGATGTAATGGATATTTTTGGTCCAACAGATACCCTCATTGGATTGGTCACACAGAAACTTTGCACAGGTAAAAGTTGTCATCTAAAGTGAAGCAAACTGCAGGAGATGCAGATTAATAGTGGTCTGACCTCTGAAATCTGATGTTTTTTCCTGTCCTCCTTTTTATTTTTTAAAAGCAAAAATACCAAAGAAGGGTCTGCCATATGTGACGGTTCACAACATCGTCAACAAAAAAGCAAACCAGAGAGCAGTTCCCACTCAAATGGCACCAGCAGCAATCCAGGTTTTGAGGGTCGAAGGGAGGAGTCCGGTAGCGGTTCTCGGGCTAAAGACACAGTGCGGAGATCGCGTTCCCACTCACACAGCCCCGGGTCAAACCAAAGGTTGAAGAAAAAACAGCTCAGCTCCAGAAGCAGATCCCCTTCCAACTCTCCTGCGGACTCCCATCAAGTAAAATACACTCCAGAGTCAGCAGCTAAGATTCTTCAGATAATTGGACTTGAGAAAGAAGACTTAGAAGAGCTTGACTCCTATGCAGAGGATCAGGTCACTCCTGAAAATCTACATCTGATTTTGCGTCAGATTTTCCTAAAAAAGAAGAAAAAAGCCAAAGCTACAGAAAGCCCCTCTGAACCAAAACCTAACACAAGTGTGACTTCAACCGACAGTTTAAACAGACCTGAGACATCTTTGAAAAAAAGGCCTCTGAAACCACTTAAAGGGACCAACGACAAGCTTTCTTCTAATTCTAATATTGTTGAAGATAAGTTAAAGCAGAGCAGTAAGGAAAGCAACAAGACAGGCGGAGATATTTTACCTCTGGATAATCCTTTGCCCAATCCTTGTAAGAAGAAAAAGCTGCAAAAAAATGTGAAACACATCAAAACTAACAATTTGGACTCAAAGAATCGGCCCGTGAATAAACCAGATGGTGATCAGAATAAAAAACTGAAAGACAAACTGAAAAATAAGCTTGCAAAGCCTCTCAAGGTCAAGCAAATTGCTTCAAAACAACCTCAGTCTGGTGCAATGTCAGCGTCAAAATTGAAAAAAGAGGCTTGTCCCAGCGGTTCAGATCCAAAAAGTACAAAGAAAAAAAGTCAAGGTAAAAGAGCAATAGCTGTTGTAAAGGAGCCAAAGGTCCAGATGGAGAAAAAAAACACGAAAAAAAAGCTGAAAAGGAAGAATCCACAAAGTGTTAAAGGTGAATCCAAGGCTAGGAGGGCTTCCCCATGCATTTCTCCAAGCAAACCAGCCCTTATTAAAGGCTCGTTGTCCAATTACTTGCCAACGCTAGCCATGATTAAAGACTATGCAGCAGCCACGCCGAGAACCTTTCCACATACCTGCTCTATCTGCAACAAGGAATGTCCTTACATGCAGGTGAGTGATCTAGGTTTGCTTCATCATACCTAAGGTTGCAAAGGGAATTTCTTAATAGTCTTCTTTGAATGGTCCTATTTTTTTCATACATTTTTTAATGTGTTAGAAATATACAAAGGGAGGAGAAAAGCTAGACAAAAAATATCAATATGGTTTTTGGGAAATTTTATTAATAATTATTCATATGAAAACACAGCTTTGTACACATAGCGGCTAAACCGTTTTTGGCCAGTCTGGAGCATGACTTCACAAGTCTTTACAAGTCTTGTTGAAGTTCTTGGTTTGGTTTTGTGTATGGACTTTGACTAGGCCCTTTGGCATAGATATTTAAACCATTTTCCTGCTGGTGGGAGAACCTGCATCTCAGGCCCAAGTTTTCAGAATCTGAAAAGTTTGCTCTAAACAATCTCCTGTATTTATTTCCATTCATCTTCTACTTGGATGGTAATGAACAAAGCAGCTTCTATCAAGACTTATCATGACCTTTTTAGTTTTCTATTTTATACTTAAAACTGTGTGCATTTGTTTCATCCTGTTACATCGAGAGCAAAAATGGTTTACAATCCATTAATAGTTGATGACTTTGTGGAACTGAATTCAAACTGCTTTAGAATTACACCCAGATGTTTACCCATAAGAAAGCCTCTGAGACCACAATGTCGAAGTTAAGGGGATTAAATACATTTCGATATTATTCAAATTTATCATTGTTTAAAAAAAAAAACGTCTGCCTGATGTCTGGTTTCTTTGTGTTTGTCTATCTAATTGAACCCCATTCAATAATGTGAATGGAGTGCGACTTGGCATGGGAAAAACAGGAATTATTATGTTTGTAGGGCCCTTAATCTGAAGCACTCCTTAATCAAAACCACAATGGTTTACTATATGTAAAGAGATTTGCATTTAAGATTGAATTTAATCTGTGTAAACATGCTTTTATTTTGGCTCCCAGGATTGGCTGTTTCACCAGAACAGCAGCTTTCACCTTGAGAGCTGTGGAATCCTCCGGGCCCAGTAAGTCCTAGCCGATGTCTTCCTCTTTTAAATATTTACATTTAGTGCCCTTCTGTATTATGAGATTATGAGTAATTATTTCAGTTGCATTTCAGGTGTTTGAAACTAAATCTATAGATAAAATATAATATTTTACAATGTAAAATAAAAACGGTAAAATTGAAAAGTTTATGTTTTTGGATTATTATGTATTTTAAACAATCTGGCAAAGAATTATGCATATTATTGCTAAATTCATCACAGTATTTAAAGGTCTTTTTTTAGTAACGATCAGTTGCAATAGTGTTTATCAAAAACTTTAAAATACGCATTAATTTGAAAAAACAAAACCACTCATATAGGTCTTAAAAACAGAAAAACAAAAGGAGTGATACACTTAGAAAGCAAGTTAAGAATTTATATGAAGCAAAAAAGAAAAGGCAAAGAATGAGCTGCATGGAGGATGCTAACAAAGTTATTTATAGACCCCTGAAGCACAGCCATAAGGATCATCACCGGTAATTTACCCCCTATTTCCTAATTCACTTCATTGGAGTTAAACTGAGGTACATCAATGTGGATATATTTAAAGGAACACATCAAACACCCTGCTGCCTTGTGTCACATCATGGAAAGATTTTCAGAAATCAGCCCCGGCAACAGGAAGGTGGTTGTTGACAGAAACTAGTGTTGCTCCATCTTCATAATTGTAGCTGAAGGAGCTGATAATAGAGGTAACTAATGACGAAGCAAATCAAATTTGTACAGACAGGGACTGAAAGGCTACTATGTGAGAAAGAAGCCACTACTCAAAAACAGATCACAGTTTGTAAAAAAAAAGTGTATACATTTGGTCATTACATTTGCTGTGAAGCATGGTAGTGGCAGCATTGTGTTGTGTGGCGATTTCTCAATGTATTTCCTCGCATCAGCGTCACTATCATGTCAGTTTCAGTTACGGACAAAGGAAATAGAAAAAAAGTCAGTCTCCCTCACTGTTAGAATGAAAAAGAAAAAGTGTCTTGTTATTCTGTATATTAGCATCTTTCTACAAGTGTGTATGCTAAGCTAAAGCAACTCAAAGGTTAAAGATTTGGTTATAGATCAAACCAACATTTTGAAAAAGAAGAACTTAGTTAGAAAAAGTTTTTTTTCATGTATATATACTTTATAAGATGCTTAGCTGTCAAACTCAAAGAAACAACAGCCTCATAATGGCAGAGGAGATATTTTTTAAACTAATAAGGAGAAGGAGGAGAACAAAGTGCTTTATGTTAGAAGATGAATCATACTAATGATCATTTTGTTCATATACTTTCCAATGTAACATAAGAGGGAATTCAACCTGTTTGTGTGATATTTGCCATTTCATAAAAGCTTCCCAATCTTGACGCATCCTACAGCTTTTCTGTGACATGCTGTGAAACGAAACTTCTCCCCATTTGAGAAAAAGCAGCGAGAACCCTCAATACTAAAATAACAAAATGACATCATTCTCTACAAATATGTTCTTCAGCATTTTAAGGATATACATGATTTTTTTTTTCCTTTACCACAGATATCCACAATGGGATGGAGACGTTCTTCCGATACTCTGGTAAAAATCACCTTTGTTACACAAAGTGAACATTTTCCCTCCTATGTGATGAATTTCTTTGGTTATGCGGTTCCTTTTATCGTTGAAGTGCCGACAGTCGTTCACCATCACTCAGCCCTCGTCATTATTACGGCTCAGAGAGTGGAAGAATCCGATCCAGAAGTCGTTCCCGCTCTTCTTCATGCAGCTTGCCCTCTCACCATTCCCCGGATGGCCGACTGTCAAGGACCAGGTGCAGATCACGGTCCAGCTGCCACCGCCGCAGTGGGTCCAGAAGCAGAAGAAGGAGGAGCATCAGCAGATCCAGATCACCTTACAGCTATAGATACGCTCAGAGGTTTGTCAGAAGATTATTAATACACAGTTGATTGGAATCACATTAAATAGTGGACTAATGAATTTTTTTTTTGTTAATGATAGATGAATTTGCTAAGTCATATTTTGCTGTTTTTCGTTAGATCTCAGTCTCTCAACGCAATGGAGTATCCCGCTCCACTCAGTGTTGCTCACATTCAAGAAGCCATGGGAGACGGTCCTCCTCCGGTACGAGAGACCAAAAATAAACCTTATTATGACAAACCTACAGGGGTTGATTGTCCACAGAGAGGAGTGAGGAAAATAGACATGAGTAACATCAGGTATGATAAGCAGATGTTAGATGGGATTAGTCGTTAAAAAAGCAAATGCTTTTTTGTATTTATCCTTACAGTAGTCGCAAAAGTCTTCGAAAATTAACTTTTTTGACTGGCTGTTTCCTAATCTGTTTTGTTTGTTTTTCGTCTACCTCTTGTTTTAAAAGAGTTTTGACAGGATGAAGTCAGCATCCTCTTCACCATTCAGCAGCATCATCAACCAGGACCTTATAAATAGGATGGAAATGATGCCCACTCCCTGCCTAATCATTGGTTGCAGTTAAAACACAATTTGATACACAGTTTTTATGTTTTATAAGAGTTTAATAAACAATATATGCAAAACTTTTTCTCTTTATATTTTGTTTGTATCATCTGTTCTTTAGCTCCATCTTATTTTAAGATAAACTTTTTGTTTATTGGTGTTAATGAGGAAATTCCGGCTGTTATGTAAAGCTGAGAGCTTAGCTCCTATACTTCCTGTATTTGTCAGGGTCTTGGCACTCATGAGAATTACATTTTGATATCTAAAATGTTCATTTTAGATAGGAGGAATACTGTTAAAGATGTCGGAAATACATATATGGTCAAACAAATATATGATAAACCAGCCCTTTAAAATAGGTAAAGATTTGTAGATATCTGAAATGTAGTTCTTACAAGTATAAATTTGATTCAAGATTACTAAAAAATATAATTCTACTGGTAGAAATGTAATGAGGGAGATCTTTAATATAATTCTGACCAGGAACATTGTAAATGTGACCATTTAGAATGCTTTAGTGCCATCTATAATAGAGATATGACCAGTCAGCCTGCTTATTTTATGTTAAAATGGAGCCCCATTATTCTTTCCAATTTTTTGTAAAAAATATTTTTTTTTTTTTTTTTTTTTTATTATTATTATTTATTTATTTTTTTGTATATATATATATATATATATATAAAAATATGTTTCTTAATACCTAAAACTGCATTTTAGATAGGCATTATTCAAATTTAGATATATGAAATTCCAATTTAACTAGTCATATATCAGTAGTTGATATTTGTAATTATTTTTCTACTAGTAGAAATATTACTGATGTCAGTAATTGGATTTCTGGATATCCAGAATGTTATCTTCATTTTTTTTATGCATGAAATTGTGATTTTGATTAGCAGTAACTCTATTATTGAGACCTGAAATTAAAGCACCAAAGCACAATTAACACAGATTTAGCAGCATGTCAAAATGCACCATGACAAAGCAGCCACAACAAGCAAGCATGTCTTTATAACTGCTGTTAAAAAAAGACCTATTATTTTCGGGAATAAAAAAACAACTTTGATTCATGTTTGAACTGATGCAGCTTGGGCTGTGTTTTACTTACCTTTCAGGTATATATTCTGAAACTAGAAGGTGTTAGCTTTAAAATAATGTATCACACATGTAATTTGGGCTTACAGTTCTTTGCTTTTCCATTTGGGCAATTTCATGGAGCATGAAATTTGCTTTGGAGCTATAAGTTGAGCACACTAGTTTTTGTCAGAAATAACAACTTGTTCTCACTCTAATAAACCCTGTGGGCTGGGATTATATGTTCTGTCTCAGGATCATGTCGATATATATTTTAATTATTTCCTAGAACCCATTGCATTCGAAATGGTCGATAACGATCTCTCTTTGTACCAATGGACTACGGTAGGATATATTTAAACCTTTTATTCAAATTGATTTTGATATATCTTGTAAATTACTATTGAGTTGTTTTAACCATTTTCCTATTTTATTGTTTATTAAATCAATATTAAATCCTCTAGGTTTAATAGAAGCTTCTGAAGCCCGACCTGAAGCCTGACCAGAAGCAAGACCAGAAGCCGGACCTGAAGCCCGACCTAAGCCGAGTCAGAAGCGTTCAACTGACTCTTTATAAGGTCAAAAAGAGTTTACTTTCTGAATTTCAACTATCCGTTATAAAAACATCTACTCCAAAGGAAGAACGACAGTGCACTGACCATCTTGATGCATCTGTAATAATAGTTTCACCTGATGCTCCCCCATGAGCACTCACTGTCTTGCGCTCCGAAACTACACTGGTACTACACGCTGAAGCCACAGCGCCAGACCACCCACTTCCTATCACCTCAGCTGGAAACAGTGCATCAGAGCGGGAAACCCCACAACCCAGAGAATTAATAATAAGTATGTCTTTTGATTGTAATAGCCTTAAATTAACACTGATTGTATTTCATGATTCAACATGTTTTAACTTTTCACTCTCTGTGTTTTGTGGTTAGGGCATAGGGCTTTGAATCCTGAGGTTGTGAGTTCGATCCCCCACTGCCACTCTGGGTCCCTGAGCAAGTCCCTTAACCCCACACTGCACAATGGCAGCCCACTGCTCCCCAAGGAGATGGGTTAAATACAGAGAATTCATTTCGTTGCTCTGTACTTGTGACAGTGGAATGACAATAAAGTTGAGTTCTATTCTATTCTATTATGGCTCCATTCAATGGAGAGATGTGTAAAAAAGTCAAAAATTAAATAAATGAAACTGTGTTTGGAGAGAAGGACAATAGAGAATTGCATGGAGTAGGCACAATGCAGTTCATGAACTCCGGGGAAGATGTCACAACCATAGTTAAAGTCTCCAAAATAAATGGTGCTGGGCATGGCTGCAGGTCACGGACAAGCCATTTAGCACCTGGTGCAGGAAGTTAGTCGAACCAGGCACTTGCTTCTGCATGCTGTGCTCCAGGAAAGCTTAGCAGCAAAAACTGGATATCAAAAGAAATGTGGGACATGCATTAAGCACAGTAAGGCAGGTGAGGGGAAGCATACCCCCTCCTTTTCAGAAACCCAAATCTGGTCATCATATTTCTGAACGTAACATAGCAATGGCTAGCTTCCAGCCATAATGTCCTGCATGAGCATTGGGGGGTCGATTCGTTCATGTGTCAGGGTACGCGCATCGGGGGCGTGACAAGCAGACGACCATGATTGACATGTCAGGAACAAATTGTGTACTACGATTGGTTTGGGTTATTCATTGATTTCTCACTGTAGTGGGGACCATTTATTTTAGTTTCACTTCCAGACCTTCCATTTCACTGATCTTTAAGCCACATGGTAAAAAACGTGTCAGAAAAGATCTCCTACTGTACCTTTAAATTGTTAACTGAGGTATCATAATTTAAATTTCTGGTCCAGCAGTTTTATTTACTTTATTACCTGCTTTTATTGTGTTTTCATTTTTACTTGCCTTTATTCTGCTTTTATTTTACCTTATTGTTTGATTCATGTAAAGCACTTAGAATTACCAGAATTGTACTATGCAAATAAACTTGCCATGCCTTAGAAAGCACAGAAAATGTAGTAGACAATAGCCTACAGTGTGTGATTCCCTGTTAGAGGAAGTTTAGAGGGGCTAATAGTGCATACCAATGCAGACTTTTTACTTCCCTGAAACATTTTTCCATAGCTAGTCATCATAACTTTATGTTTGCCTGTATGTCTAAAGCTTCCTCAATGCTGCAAATTGAACCATTTCTCAAAAGTTGACTACGAGGAATAATCTTTTTCATTGCATTAGGGCAATGGAAAACAATTGGTTTTTGGAAAAAAGTAACATTTAGATATTTTTTAACAGATACATCAGATTCACTGCTATATTCTAAGGAAAATTCAAAATCAGCAATAGAAAATATTGCAATGTAGCAAAAACAGCATGTCAGTTTCGGCTCAAAGGGTTTTTTTTTGCAATAAACATGTTTATCTCAAATTTGACCATTTGATTTTATCTGTTTTATTTACCAATGCTGTTAAGCCCTCTTTCTGGGGAACATTTGCATATGACCAAGTGTTGCAGCTCTATTGTTCTCATAATAGAGAAGTCTCTTTAGCAACGCAACTTGCTGCTGGTATATGAACAAAGATGATTTTTAATGTCTGTGACTGACTGCTGATGTGCTCCAATTTTGGTGAGTATAAAACCCCAACACTACTATCTATTCTACTTAGTTCACTGAAGCAGAGCACTTATTAAGCATCAGATGAAAGAGGGGGAAGTATGATGTTCCAGTTTTCTCCAGGCCCCGTCTTCAGTCCAGTCCGTTCGCCCAGCAGCAGCTCTCAAAAACATTTGGATTAATCTGATGCAATAATAAGAGGCAACTTAGCAAGGGGTTAGCTGCAGGGATGTCTCCCTTTTAGCTACGGAGGTTAGGTGAACAGCCATTGGGGGACCCTTTGTCAGTTACATCAGCGACAGTTGATTACAACCACCTTACCTTTGAGCCTCATGCTGAATGTTTTGTCAAAAAACTCAAACGTAAACTAGGCTTCTTCTATCAGACAAAAAATTTTTATTTGAGGTAAAAAAGCAACTTGTCACCTTGACGCATCAATAGGTCCATAATGACAGACACACACGCGCACTCTCAAAACCGCTGTTGAGGAAGCAAAGATTGTACAACCAAAAGATATGCAGGTGAAAGGTAGCTAAAGACAGAAAGTAAAACTGTTTAAAGATAAAGAAAAGTTAAAATACAAGGAAACAATAAAATCTTCCCAGTGAGGTTTTGTCATGATGCGTGGTTGGTTGCTAGCCCAAGGATGCAGAACTCCACAGACTCAGAGGCAGGATCAAAGTTCAATGTTTATTATTTGGCTCTGGTCTCCCACCTGGGAGGCAGAGAGCACAGAAAACAGGTTAACTTAGGGATCAGAAACTAACTCAAAAACTCACTGGTTCGCTGGTTCAGACAGGCAGAGTTCTACAGAGTCCCTGTGTCAGAAACGGGCATAGCATGAGGAGGCTATGACCGTACAGGGCACACATGGCTTGGGAATACAAGGCTTGGAAACAATGGCTAACACATGGCTGTGGGTAACACAGGCTACATGGCTTGGGAACAGATGGCTAGGCTTGGAAGCTTGGAAACGATCCGGCTACGAGTGAAGCTGTCACACAGCTTATATGGGGAGAGGTTAATCAGCAGAGCTGATGGGAAACAGCTGTGCGCTGAGAACCAGCTACCAGGAGAGGATCCATGGCGCCCTCTGGTGGGCAAACCTCTGGATCCCAACAGAAACAGAAGCCCAGAAGAAGGGATACAAACAGAAACAGAAGCTACAGAATGGGATCCACACCGCCCTCTGGAGGGCAACCCTTGGATCCCAACAGTACCCCCCCCTCAAGGGCGGATACCAGACGCCCAAAAACAAAAAAAACAGAAACCAAAACAACCCACCTAGGGCGAACAGAGGGGGAAACAGGCACGGGGGGCCAGGCACAAAAAACAGATCAGGAACCAGAACTCAAAACAACCCACCTAGGGTGGGCGAGGACAGAGAAAGTCTCAGGTGACCGGCCG